AATATCGGCTGCACGTATCGGCGTATCGGTTAGACTGATGTTTAAAAACTCGGTATCGGCCATCAAAAACCTGTATCAGTCAATCTCTAGTACATACCCAAAGTTGAGAAAAAAAAAACTTTAAAAAGTGAATTTTGCATAATAGGTCCCCTTTTAAATAATCCAACTTCTTTTCTATGATCTTTCCTCTCAAATCCATCAGAATTACCTTTAAATAATGTGAAGTCTACATATTATTAAAARTTAGAAAAAAGCATGCTTGAATAGTTCAGTTGTACTATTTTTTTTATTAAATTGGGTATACATTATTTTTCTTGTTTATATGAATTTGGTCTTTCCGTTTGTCCTGATGTGTAAAAATAATAAAGTTCACAATATATTTTTAGTTTTATGTCACCTCCACTGGCCGTGAACATTCCCGAAAAGGCCTTGAAAAGGTCCACTGACCAGCAGTTGATAGTCACAGTTGTAGCTTGTTTTGCAGATCTGGCCACATTTGTGAGCCAATCAGCAGAAATGGGTCTTTTGATCGTAAAGGTTGCAGAGCCCTGCTCTAGCGGGAGGAACCCCCCTGTAGTGACGTATGCTGCAGGGTTTCCCCAGGAGCTTGGCACGGGATGTCTCAGGGACTATGAAAGGTGTGTGTGAAAACGAACGCTGAAAAACCATGTGACTGCACTTTGACTGTTCAGCTTCGAAGGCAGGAGCCTTTAGTGAGCTCACCGTTGTCTCCCAAAGTTCTGAAAAGACCACTGCCTGGCCGAGCTCTGGAGGCAGCCGTCAACATCTTGTTCACTTCCTGTCAAGATTCCAACATGAAAAAAGTACCTGGTATTAATTCAATTAACACACGCTGCACTGCACGTTCACTTTTCAGCTTGTGATGGGGTAAACATACCTGTTGTGTTAACTGCTTTTTTTTAAGCTTTCCTAATGAAAACCAAAACAGACAGAACATATAAATAACAAAAGATTTGTTTTAAAAAACAGAACAGTGCAAGGTATTTTAATGCATTTTGCATAGGAAAGTGACAACTGTYACTCTAATAACAGTACATTATAGCATACAGATATACATTTCCAACAAAACTTTACAATTATCCCATGTTTTGTGACAGACTTACAGATTTTTTATTGAAGTCTTGGAGTTGAATAAATCTCATTTAAAAGTGCCACATATTGTATTCACCATGAACTCTCGTGTATGTGTGTGTGTGTGTGTGTGTGTGTGTGTGTGTGTGTGTGT